TAGCAATGCAAAAAATCTATGACTACAATTCTTCTAGGTTCCCTCTTCCCATGGCGCTGTAAATAGTTTTCACGCTTTTTGTACGCTCCTCGCTTGAACACATTTTCGGCATCAATTTCGCCGAAATATGGATGGTTTTCTTTAGAAATTCGTTGCATGTGCCTTTGGCAAACGACGAGTGGGATTATAATTTCTTTCTATTGGTTGTATTTTTGCTTTAGGGCCCTTCAACGTCTGGTTGCTGTGGTACATAACCTAGAAGTCTGTTTTGGCTGTCTCTCTTGCTTGACTGTTGTCATCTTCTCTGTCCTCTGTCCGAGGAATATTCAAATTATAATATGCTGCTTCTCGGTCCTTGGCACGTCGTTTATTCTTTCTCCTGTTCTGAAAATGAATGATAAGCATAAAGCTAGGCTAGGATGCTGTGCTTGTCGTAAGGATAATGCGCTGAATTTGCAACAATGTGGGGTCTGTCGGAAATTCTACCATCTGTCTTGTATTAAATTCAACCAGACACACAATGGGACTCAGTTTGTAACGATTTGCAGATTGTGCCCGGTGGCCATGAATTCTCTAATCTCGGGCAGGACACGCCGAGAATCAGCTAGTTCCGAATCGAGTCGACCTGGTAGTCCGGCGATCACTAATGGCAATCCTCCAGAACTGTTGAGTTCATCTGGTGCTCCTCCTCCATCTCTTCTTGCTGGTGTTGTTCCGCTAACAGAACAAAGTATTGCTATGTCTATCTCTGGTGACATGTTATCTATAATCCTCGCTAAGCTCCAGTTGATGGATACGAGATCCAAGATTTTTGAAGGAAATATGGAAGCTAGGATGAAGAACCTTTAAGCTGATGTGGCAGCCAGACTGGCCGTCTTGAACAAGCTACCGGCCCTCTGATCGAGCGGGATGGCCTTCGTGTCTGTCACCTCAATGTGGATTCCCTTAGGGTCACATCGAGAGAGTCGGACTTTTTTTGGATAGTCGTCCTCCATTTCATGACATTGCTATGACAGAGACTAAACTTTGCTCCCTTGTTGATGATCATGTTGTATCGCGGGAGTATTATAGGCGTTTCAGAAGGGATCGCAATGCGCGTGGTGGTCGTGTTGTTGTTTTCATCAATAATCGCTTTAAGGTAAAGATCCTTGCATCTATTAGGTGTATAACTTAATCTTTTCGTTTTTTTTATAAAAAAAATATGTAACATTATAAAATATATAAATACTAGATCAATCCCCGAAATATCGTCCATCGTTTTCGATGACCATGCGCCATCGATCGGGCAACATACGAAGGCAATAGCGAAAAAAACTTGCAGGCTTTGAGGCGATCAAGTCATCGACGAATTTTTGCATATCGTGCAGAGTTTGGAAGCGTCTTTCCTCCCAGATGTGCTGCAGGGACCGGAACAGATGGTAATCGGAAGGGACCAAGTCCGGTGAATAAGCCGCGTGCTGGACAACCTCCCAGCCCAAGTTTAAAATCGTTTTCTGTGTCGCGCGAGCAATATGAGGTCGCACGTTATCATGGAGCAGTATGACTTTTCGGCTCCCTTGACCAGTAAATGGCCTCTTCTCATCAAGGACTGCGTGCAATTTGTTCAGTTGTCACTATAGCGTTCTGCAGCAACTGTTTGTCCTGTTTCCAAAAGTTCGTAATTGAGTATACCCTTCATATCCCACCAGATGCAGAGGAGAACCTTCTTCATGTGAATTGTTTATTGGGGAGTGGATGTCGATGGTTGTCCGAGATCCACCAATGATTTTCTGCGTTTGGGATTAACAAAAAAATATATTTTTCATTTCCCGTCACAATTTCCCACAAAAAACTTTTCTTCCTATACTTAGCGAGCAGCGAAGACCAAGTTTTCATTCGCTGACCGAGGTTATGTTCCGTCAGTTCGTGTGGAACTCATCTTCCTACCTTATGTATTTTTCCCATTGCATGTAATCATTTAGGCATTGCTGCTTGAGTAACTTCGAGCAGAGCTGCAAGCTCTTTGAGTTTGCGTTGAGTCTTTGTCCAGTAATTCTTGCAGTTCAGCGTCTTCAAATTTCAGAGGCTGTCCGGGATACTGCCAATCACTGAAATCGAAATCACTTTCTTTAAAGCATCAATACGAATATTTACACGGATTATAAGACACAATATCCTTTCCAAGAATTGAATAAATCGATTCGTGGGTTGCAGTTACACTTTTTCCTTGTTGGAACTCGTACAGAATACTATCGTATATACTACTCTTTTGTGAAGTTATGCAGCTCTTCCAGACATGACATATATCGTATTAAAAACTGTAAGGTGCACTCTTCAAAGTGGGAAACGGGCGCGTAAATATTCAAAATTTAAATAAGATAACTCACTCAATAAAAAAAAGACCGAAATTAAGTCATACACCTAATATTACACGGTATAATTGGTCTCATATTTTGAAGATATCATTTCGTCGAGTTACACACCGTAGATTAGTGGTTGACACCGGCAGTACTTTTGAAACCGACAGTAAGTGAACATACATCATTCAATATTTGTGATTTTCATAGAGGTTTAAATCCATTAGTAGCAGCTTACAGGAATTATATTCACGATTTTTTAGCGATTCTCTCTCTCTCTCTCTCTCTCTCTCTCTCTCTCTCTCTCTCTCTCTCTCTCTCTCTCTCTCATGCCGTACATCGGAGGGCCAAAGCAAAAGAGAACAGCTTTGCTGTCATTAGTTGTCACGTCAGTCCTCACATATGGCATTTCCATTTGGGCTGACGTATTATTGATCCAGCATGCGCGACGGAAGGTGGCGTCAGTTTATCGATTGAGCGCCCTTAGAGTAGCCAGCCCATTTCGCACAATGTCAGAAGTTGCCGTGTATGTCATTGCCGGGATGCTGCCGATAGGAGTACTTGCCGAGGAACGACGATGTCTCTACCGGCGAAAAAGTTCAACAATGCTGAGCGCAGCTGAGCTGAGGATGGATGAGAGGAACAATACTCTGCATCGATGGCAGTTACTGTGGGATGCCTCGACCAACGGGAGACGGACTCACCGCCTGATCCCGAAATTGGATGCATGGGTCAAATGAACACATGGAGACGTCAACTACTATCTCACACAGATGCTCTAAGTACACGGGTGCTTCCGGTAATATCTTCATAGGTTCAAATATGAGGAATCGCAGGACTGCCCGGCCTGCCCAGGAGTCTTCGAAGACGCGGAGCATGAGTTCTTCGTGTGTCCGCGTTTCAACGTGCCCCGCAGCACACTCGAGACCGCACTTGGAGAGATGATTAAGCCTGATAATCTGGTGCAAGCTATGCTTTCATCAGAGACGGCCTGGGAGGCAACCAGCGCCTTCGCAGCGGAAGTCCTGAAGGACCTACGCAAGGTGGAACAAGAAAGAAACAGAGATAACAGGAAGAGGAAGCAATAATTTGATCGGCCGAAGGGAGAGCTACGGCTGAATCCTCCCTCCGTGCTGTATAGCCTATCGGCGGTTCCACGGAGTAATAGGAGGCAGGTGACAGGGGTATGTTTTTAGTCCGTATTGGTTGCACATTCACCGAGCTAAAACAAGCCAGGTCTCACCAACCTTAGCAGCTCATGGTCGCCACCATCCAGACCAGACCGTGTCGGGCACTATGCTCTGGGAATTTCTAAACCCGAGCGTATGCGTAAATGCATTTTTCTCCCTGAAAAAAAAAACCTATCTGAATTTTTCTGTGCTCATCCAAGATCTTTTTCGCTGTGTTTGCTGCGAGTGTCATTGAGGCTTCCAGGTTCCTTACGTGAGGACTTGATCATTCTTTGACTGATTTCGTACTCGTCTTCACCTGCCGCTTGTAGAGCTTTAAGGTTGTCCTCCTTCATGGTCTCGTTGAGGTCCTTGATCTCGAGTTCCCCTTACGATTCTTTACTGAGCACCTTAGCTTTGTCTGATGAATTCCGTTGGTTGTCGCCTTTCTCAGTACGATGAGCATGTCCTCCGTTACAGTCGTGTGTAGTTTTTCGACGCGTTCGCGGACCTGGTCGGTGAGAACTTTTATTTTCACTTCGGTGAGGATCTCTGAATACTTGTCCTCATCCCCTGGGCCAATGATCATCACATTAGGCCTCGATTTCCAGTCCTTTTCAGTCGGTTTCCAGTCGTTTCTATTTTTTTTTCGGTGCGGCGACTGCTTTTGTCATCGCCTCCCCTCCTTCGTATTTTTCACCATTCTCCCGTCCGGTGGTTTGATAAGCGGTTTCGGTAGTATCACACTGTGAGACGGTTTCGGCTGCTTGGCGCTCTTTGGTGACTAACCCTCCATTCCACGGGCCTTTCGAACTTTGCTTCGTACGTACTGCCTTACGAATATTCCGATACATCGCGAATGATTCCTGTCTGCCTTCCATCTCAGTTTTATCGACAACATACTAGACATTGTTACCTCATGTAAGTTCACCTTGGACTGAATGTACGTATATAGCTCTGGAACCCGGTTCTGCAGATGCATCCATCCATAGGCCCATTCCTTCTCATGCTAGGTTAACAGCTCACCTCCACTTGTTCCATTTGAAGCCAAGTTGTCCGCCTGTTTTTCACCAATTTCTTTTAGGTTTAACGTCCCCAAAGCCACCATTATTAATTCTGCTTTCACGAGTAGCTAGGGAACTAACGGTCTGCTACAATAGAGCCCCAGATGTTGGAGTAAGGCCGTTAGCGATGTCAACCATACCTGATGCCTTCCTCTTATCGCAAGGGTAAATGCTAGGAGGAAGTTTTTGATCCATGCGAACGTATCCTATGTGATTGTCTCTGCGGGTGTGTAGGGGAGGGGGCGGGGTATATTAAATATCTGTGTTTATACCTCTTATAACTATTAAGCTAGGGATTATTGCCATCATCATTATAAAAAATGGAAATGAATAATAAATCAGCAAATCTATTCTTTATTGAAGAAGCACCTATATATCATTCATCAATGTACACTTCAATTAAGCCCTTTATTTATTTTACCCCAAAATAGCATCAACGAAGGTTATGCAGCCATTTGGGAACCAGCTGTCAAGGAATACGTTCAATCCAAGAAATATCCAACGTGTGGAAAACCCTACGGTTCGCGATATGTTGGCTCCATGGTCGCCGATGTCCACCGGACCATCAAATATGGAGGAATATTTTTATATCCTGCTACAAAAGATAACGTCAATGGCAAAGTATTATATATCTCATTTTATTTGAATTAAAAATGCATTGTTTTGCTCACTTGAACATTTCCAGATCTGGAATTGGTCCGTAATCGGTCCGCAACGGTCTGTAACGCGATGAAAACAAATCTTGAAAACAGACTATACAGACCAATCATACCGAGTAAACTGCATATGAGACATTCCAAGTCAACTCAGCCACACCGGATTTTTTTTTGTCTGGAAAAAATCATTGAGTAGGTGCATTTTGAACTACAACATATAGACAGTAATCATGCAAAATTTTATTGCCCTGCCACTTTTCGTTTCTGAGATAATCATTATGAAACTTGAAATTTTCAAAAAATCATCACTTCTGAATGGAGCATCCGATTTTGATAAATAAAAAAAAAAAAATTCTTTTTTTTTCGTACTTCAAGATAAAAAATACTTAAAAGCCGTCCAGAAGCTCGTAAATCGGTTTTTCGAGAATTTTTCGGGTTTTCATTTTTTTTTCACTCTAGGGCCACTCGATATTAAGGACGAGGATGTCCTTATATGATAAAAAAATAAGCCATAATGGTAGAGCGAAACAATGCACCGTAAAAAAATTTTTTTTCTCGAAATTTTTGCGTTTTCAGTTTTTAGGGGAGATCCATCGGTTTTTTTTAAAGAAATGAGTCTGTCAACCATTATTCTTCGTTCATATATGATGACATAAGACTACACCATCATGTCACGGAGAAAGAGTGCGTCGAAAAAAAAATTTTTCGTCGAAATTTTTACTGGAAGGGTAGATAGTTGAATTCAACATTATCATCATCGGAAGTTTGCTAAATTATGATCAAACAAATGAGAGGAAGAGACAAACGGAATCAATTAATTGATTCATCATCATCAGTCGGTTCCAAGGCTTTAATTCTAGAAAAAAACCTCAATTTCTCGATTGATTTTTTATCACCATACGATTCTGTGTGGATGGATTACCGAGCTCCTAACTTATTCTACTCTTACAACGGGGTGAGGAATTTTCACGTTGATTATATGGAAATGATCTTTATTCTCGGAATTGATATCTTCGGATTTCATAGAATGCCGCGGAGTGATAGATGTGCGAATCCAATGCGGGCTCCTGGTGAGAAGGGACACCTCGGTTATAATTTACGTCTGATTTCCTTGACACTACACGAGAAATTTCCTTTTTTACCATTGTTTGCGAAAATCTGTGGTCAATGCCGAACGAGAGCTCCAACTTATGTCATTCCTCCATCTGTCCACAGGGTTAAACTTAATGCTATACGTCTTCAGCGTTCGGAAACTCCACCCGATATATCAATGCTCCAAGCCGAAACATGTGACCCAAGTCTGGATGGGATGAACAGTTCTCGGAGATCAGGTCGATCTTTCCAACTTGATGATTCCGGCATATCAATCGACGACGAACCAGACGATGAAGCTGAATTCGACAGTTCTTCCGTGGATTATGATTCGGAAGATGACCAAAGTGACATTGATCCATCTTCATCTAAGCAGTATCGATCTGCGAGAGAAATAGAATTAGAAGAAATGTTGGATGGTTTGAAGCAGAAATTCAAAGATCTGAAAAACTACCGTGAGCACCTGTAAATCTTGACGGTTCATCCACAGTCGTGGAGTGCGCGGAAAATTGCTTCTGAATTTGAAACTACCAGATACATGGCATCAAGAGCGAAAAGATTGAGAAAAATTAAAGGAGTGTTTGCTTCACCAATTGCGAAAGCAGGTCATTCACTACCCAGCATAACCGTCGAGAAAGTACACAATTTTTACCTAGAGCACAGTCGCGTCATGCCAGGAATGAAAGATAAAATATCCATCAAGATCAATAGAGAGAAGAAAGTAGAGCAAAAGCGAATGATACTCGAAAATCTAAAAGTCCTTCATCGGAAGTACAAACATGCGAATGAAGATGCTAAGGTCGGTTTCAGTAAGTTTGCCGAGCTGAGACCTAAACAATGTGTAGTGGCGGGAGCAAATGGCACTCACGTGGTATGTGTTTGTACGTATCATCAAAATTGCAAATTGATGCTACAGGCAATTAATATTGCAACTCTAACTCAAGATTCCCCCTGTCTACTCAGAGATTACAAAGATTGTCTAGCAAAATTGATGTGTACAAATCCAACCCCGGCCTGTCATCTGGATGAATGTAACGATTGTCCTGGAGTGAAATCATCATGTGAACTGAAGAAACTTCTCTCTGATTCACTCGTGCAAATGGTCGAATTTCGCGTGTGGCAAAGTACTGACAGATGTACCTTGCAGACACAGACCCTCCCGATGGATGAATTCATTGATCTTCTAATGGAACAATTGATAGAGAATTTGGATAATGGAGAAGTACGACACTAGTGGAAAAACATAAGGTGGAGGCGTAACATGCCTGATCAGAATTTCGGACCGGACTTGATCAGTTTCTGATCGAGACCTGAACAGAATTTCCACTCGGGTATGAGACAATTTGAGAGTGAAATTCGTACGTGTCCTGGTAGCTCAGATGGTGAGAGCACCCGACGCGACATTGGGAGATCCCGGGTTCGATTCCCCGCTAGGAAGTTACTAATTTTTTCTCTCAAAAAAATTGAATTTAATTAATTCCTAATGATGGTAGGTGGAGAAACCCTAGTGGGAAAACATAAGGTGGAGGCGCAACATGCCTGATCAGAATTTCGGATCGGACTTGATCAGTTTCTAATCGAAATCTGAACAGAATTTCCACTCGGGTGGTGCATTGTGATTTTTCGGAAAATTACGCTTTTGTGGCTCAAGATGCTGCTCAATCCTTCCACTACAATAATGACCAGTGTACAGTTCACCCCGTTGTTTACTACTATCGCGAAAAAAATGAAATCCAATATCGGAGTTTAGTCGTTTTGTCGGACAGTACGACTCACGATACTGCCGCTGTTTATTTGATACAGAAGATTTTAATACAGCATGTGAAAGACAACTGTGAAAGCGTAAAGAAAATTATCTATGTCACCGATGGAGCTGCAGAACATTACAAGAATCGTTTTCAGATCACGAATCTCTTGCATCACAAGACTGATTTTGGCAAGACTGATTTTATGCGGAAGCCCATTCTCATGCAACCGCGCATGGTAAAGGAGCTTGTGACGGAGTAGGAGCTGTCTTTAAGAGAGAAGCGAGACGTAAGAGCTTGCAAATCGTTCATGGTGAACCAATCCTCACGCCAGATGCTTTGTTTCGATGGTCAAAACAGAATTTTGAAGGAATTGATGTTTTTTTTTCCACCAAGGCAGAACACGAGAATATCAAAACTGAGTTGAGAGAGAGATTTGATAGTGCCAAAGCTATTCCAGCCATTCAAAAACACCATTGTTTTATTCCGATACCGGGAGAGCAATTGTTAATTAAACGATATTCGGCTTCGGCTAACGAGGAGGTTTTCCCAAAGCAAAAACAAACAACAACAAAACGAAAGACCCGCAGAAGACAGTAATCGTGATTGTAAATAATTCATCAGTGCATGTTGGAACTTGTCGAAGAGAGTGGAGAATTTCTCCGTATTGTAAAAATGTAAAAATGTGAAAATATAAAATGTTGTCGTTATAGAAGAATAAAAATTGTTTTTTTCCCATACTTTTTCGTTAGTGGAAAGCACAGTGTGTTGTTGAGAAAAGATTTATAGTCGTATCAATAGTCTATTCTATCCAGCAGAACAGAAAATGTCTATTGACAAACCTCTTTTTTTAGTAACAATAATGCAACTCTCCTAAACGACAGACAAACGTAAAAATTTCGAAGAAAAATTTTTTTCGGAGCATTCCTTCTCTCTTACATTATGGCGTAATTTTTCATATCATATAAGAACATCCTCTATCATAAAAAAAATATTTCGATCGAATATCGAGCGGCCCTAGAGTGAAAAAAAAATGGAAACGCGAAAAATTCTCGAAAAATCGGTCTAGGAGCTTCTTGACAGCTCTAAAGTATTTTTTATCTTGAAGTACGAGAAAAAACGAAAATTTTCTTTTTTTATGTATCAAAATCGGATGCTCCATTCAGAAGTAATGACTTTTTGAAAATTTCAAGTTTCGTAATGATTATCTCAGAAACAAAAAGTGGCAGGGCAATGAAATTTTGCATGATCACTGGCTATATATAGTAGTTCAAAATGCACCTACTCAATGATTTTTCCCAGACAAAAAAAAATCCGGTGTGGCTGAGTTGACATGGAATATCCCATATTCTAATCATCCAATACGAAGTTTCAAGTATTTAAAAAACCGCCGATTTTCGGTATTCGTAAAAATCGGCAAACCTTAAACCGCCATACATACAAAAAAATTTTCAAAAAAATTGTCAATTATTTCAGAGATTCCTTGAACTCCTGGGAAGCCAACCCGAGGGGGAAAAACTCTATATTGTAATAATTATTCATTCAATAGAGATGTCGACTGCAGCCATCTCATTGCAGAATTATCGAACCGAGCTGAAAAAATATGGGAGTTCGGTGAGGGATAGATGGGTTTTATAACTCATAACACTTGGAATTCGTATACTATATCGAATAAGATTTATTCACAGCAATGTAACTTGGTTTACACCATGAGAGCTGGCACGTGGGTGTACTCCCGCAGCAACGGTGTTAATCACCCGATCGAGGATGTCCGAATTATTACGAATTGTCGCGAGGTGTCGTAGTAAGGTATTCTTTTGCTAAGCCAAGCTTGAACACAATACATTGAATTGATCTAAAATAAAAATAGAAATAGCTTCGCTACAATAGTCCCCTTCTGTGGGGAAAAAGGAATGGATAACTATGTACAATATTTACAAGAGTATACGCTTTAAACGGCACTGAAAAACGGTATACGTGACTCTAAAAAAAATTTAATTCAACTATTGAGAGAATCTCAACGCGTTTCCTTGATGGTGATGGGGTTGAGACCAACAATGATCTTGCGTCACTAGATGGAGCCCAAGATGATGATATGCATCTAGATGTTCCTGGTTATGATGATGTT